AGCAGGCAGGATTCCCCATCAGCTGTCATCGTTGACAGAAAAACAGGATTGATGTCTGTGGCCACTGCTTAAAGTCCCCTAAAACGTGGCCCCACAGATGGGCGGGGATCGGTTAATGAGCTGGGAGGCGTTTCATCTGGATAGTCAGCGTGGTGGAGCAACAACAGGGTCGCGTGGCGGCAACATGAAAACAAGACCGTAATTACTCAACACAGAGAGGCAGAATAAGGAGAGGTAGCAGCATTAACCCCTAATTACCGGAGTCAGGCCAGAGCTGTGCAGCGACTTAGCCTGTTTCCTGATGAGTAGTCGATGGGGAGCATACCCTGACACTGCAGATCCAGCGACATTTGGATCCACAGAGGGGGTGTCCTGTGGTGACGAGGACTTCGAATTAAGATTTCAGGCTGTCACTGGAGCTGAATTCTCTGTAGTCTCCCTTGTATGTATAATCAGGGATTCCAGAAGATGACCGATGTGTGGATGGCAGTGGTGGAAAAAGTACTCAATTTTCATACTTAAGTAAGTGTACAGATATGAAACCAAAATGTTACTAAAATAAAAGTCATTGAGTAAGATGCTACTTAAGTAAAAGTTAAAAATACTTGGTTTTAATAGTACTTAAGTAAAAAGTACTATACATTCAAATTTATTGATCTTACAAAAAGCAGCCAATTCTTTTAAATTCATTCAAAACAGACCCTTCCAGTACAAATTAACAGAATTATTTTTTTCATTCCTTAGAAAACAAAATATCAATCTGCAGGTCAGATTTTAATATGGATTATAAACATTTTACATGCCATTACTTTGAAACTTCTTATAAGTAGTGGATGAGCTGATGAAAACCCTTGTCCTCTTCTACAGAAATTGGCTGATCAGTCAATGCAGTCATCACCATTTTTTCAGTAGTATTGTTTAAAATATCGAACGGCAATATTGGTATGCTAACCGATACATCTTGCATTCTTACGTATTGTTTGTTCTTCCTAATGACAGTATGTAATGCAAATTAATAATAAGAAACAAATATAGCTGCAAGCAGCAATGGGGGGGGCCAAGCAAACTATCAGAGCATAGTTGCCATGGAAGCTGCCATGGAAGCTCCATTTTGTCAAGGGTACGGCTGTATGCAGTCACAGCAACTTTCATGTCCGTTGACCAAAGATTGGCCAAAATATGAGCTCACTAGCTGTTTGCCCATTTCACTGCTGATTTTGATTGGCTGCAACGGACAAATGGTTATGAAAATTAAATATCCGTCTGATAAATTTCATAAGACTTTGTCTGAAGGTCATCTGTACAAAATTTGGTTGACAAGACTTGTGAAAACCGAAAACTTTTTTTTTTTTTAAATCCAAAGCAGTCAACATAAATTTGATTGACATGATCTCTTGAGATGTCACCAGATATAACAAGCACTTGTATAAGGCCAACACATCAAAAGATATTAGGAAAAATGTGTTTTTGCTTATTTCAGCTCCCATCAGTGGTAAAATGAATTTTGCACATCCCCGGGAAGTGATCGTGTGTCCTTATACCAAGTGTGGTGTCAAAACATCAAACCATTCTTAAGATACGCCTTTCCTGTTTGGCCGCCTCATCACCAAATTCACATTGATGACAGTGAACAGGTTCGAAAATCTGAAATCCATCTGATAACTATTATGAGGCTTGGTCTGAAGATCATCTGTGCTAAATTTGGTGAAGATTGGACAAAATTTGAGGACAGTTAATTTTTTTAAACTTTTAAATTAAAATCCAATGTGGTGGCCACATCAATTAGGTTGACATGACAAATTAACCTGTGTTGACCTTAGGCCCTTGCATGGCATTACCTGGCACAATAATCACTTTCTTGTAAGGCAAACATATCAATAGTTATTAGCTAAAATACATTTTTGCAGTGCCCCTTAGTAATTCAATGAGACACAACCTTTTGGACTTTCTGAGGTTATGTTCAAAGTTTGATTTTGATGCATCAAAGTGTTGCTGAAATATGACTTCACTTCCTGATTGGTGGCTTTGCCATTGAATTTCATTGCACAACAGCGGCCATATCGTTTGCCTTACAAGTACAATAGTTTGAATAACTTTTGGTTAAAATGCTCTGTAAATGATTCATACCAAATTTGGTTGTGAAAGGATCAAGCCTCTAGGACTAGTTTGCAAAAAATCGTGATTCATATCTTACCCAGAATCATGTAGATGCAATAGTATATATTTTTAAATTGAGTAAAGATCGTGCAGAATGTATAGGAGTTAAAAGTTGCTATTTAGCTCAGAAATGTAGTGAAGTGAAAGCAGAAGTCACAGCAACTTAAAACACTCAAGTAAAGTACAGTACAAATCTGGTTTAAAAAAATAATTTTATATATATATATATATATATTTTTTTTTAAAAGTACGCCTTTGGTGGTTGGTACCACAGATGACATGTTTAACAAGCTAGCTCATGTTGGTCCAGGGAGCACTGTGACATATCACTCAGTGAGGTCTTCCACAGTCCTCTGTACATGTGCTGAAGTTTGTCCTTGATATTATGGTGCCTGTCCTTCCTGTAAAAGTGGCTAGTAAAAGCTGGAAAATGAGCCCCCAGTTTCTTGTATCTCATTCCCCAGGCAGGAACACTCTGGTGTGTAATAACGGTCCACAGAGGTGTGGGTAATGTTTGAAATGACACTTAGTTGGTCCTCACTGAGCATCGTGAGCTGTTTAGCCTGTCCGTGTACATTTTCCCCATTCTGTCTCACTTATTGTAATATGCTTTTCAGTGCCTCGAAGGAGAGGTTGGGGCTGCCCTCAGCGAGCGGTTCAGGCCTTGATAATCTTGCAATCCGGCATGAAGTACACGTTGGTGCTCTTGACAGAGAAACCCTCCTCCAGCCACTACTACCCTCACTCTTCCAGGATGGAAGGGAATAATTGCCATTGCAGCATGAATATCTATTGTCTCATTCCTGGAAACCTTGTAAAGCTCTAAGCTTAATCGGAGTCTTTATCGCTTGTCATTTCCATCCATTTTTCCAATTATTGGTTTAATAATGGCCTGTCTTAAAGGCAGCCAATCATAATGCAGTATGCTCACACTGTGGGCACTAATAGCGTCATGGTGTGAGGTGCAGTCTGTAAGCAGTCTTCAGGCCTGTTTGGCTGGCCTCTTTGGATCACTGTCCCTGAATCCCACACAGGCTTTGCCATGTTCTCTCTGTGACTCCAAAGGACCCGTTTATCACCTCGCTAATGGTGCTCTGGTATATTTTTGCTGGTCCACTTTAACTTAAGGCTCTTCAATAAACAGCAGGGTTGCCTGGGGAATGGGTCTTGAACTGACAACCTTTTGATCTGAAGTCTGGGACAGTCACTCCACCTGCTGGCTGGCCACTTGTCCCTCAGATGGAATGGTGAAGTATGTCAAATAGCTGTTGTATTTTTTACGTGGGTCCTTTAGAGACTTCTAACTCTTCCAGGCTCTGAACAAGAGAGTTTTAGCAGCTGACTGATCTTTGAAGTAGCATGTGGGCGATGTAGGCTTCAGTGCTTAGAGTTTGTTATAGGGATGTCTGGAATAAGGCCCTGGTGGTCGTTATGTCTGAAATGGCTTTATTTATGTTAGCTTTAGAGCTCACCAGAGCAGCCTGGGGGAACTTTTGTTCCATAACTTTGTTCAATAACCTGCAGTTAGCTGGACATTTTGGTCTCAGTCCTTTTGTTCAGTGTTGATACCCTGGAACTGCAGTTAGCTGGACATTTTAATCTCACTCCCTTTGTTCAGTGTTGATGCCCTGGGACTGCAGTTAGCTGGACATTTTGGTCTCAGTCCTTTTTGTTCAGTGTTGATGCCCTGGATCACCAGTTAGCTGGACATTTTGGTCTCAGTCTTTTTGTTCAGTGTAGATGCTCTGGATCTGCTGTTAGCTGGATATTTCATTCTCTGTCCATTCAGTGTTCAGTGTTTATGCCTCTGATCATTTTTCCATCCTACACTCATGAATAAAGAGAGTTAAGCAGAATGAGAAGAGATTACTAAATAACTGTTTGGGTCTAGGACTGTGGCGTGCACTGATGCATGGTGCTATACACATGGTATAGATAATGTCAACCATTCTAACAAGGCTCACAAGAAAAATAACGAGGTACAGTAAAAGAAAAATGTAAAAAGAGCAGACACGATGTCCTGCCATGCAGATGTTTACAGATGCAAATGACCTTGCAGACTGGTACACAAAGTGTTCTCGGGCTGCTTCCTCAGAGCAAGGCACCCCACATAGTCAAAATCTTGGCTAGACCCAAGGTCATAGGGTTATAAATTAGGATAAGGACCACAATAGATCATGAGGAAATGTTGTAGTGACCCTTCACACACATCTGTGATTTGGGCCCAAGAAATACGCTGTAACCCTGGTTTAATTACAGTGAATAATGGTTAATCACAAAGTTAGTCTGATCATTAATAAAGCCCCAAACCGTAATTGATTAGTCTTCAGATTATTGATAAAAATGCAGTATTCCACATTGCCACCTTGTTATAAAAAGGCTTTTAGCCTTTTTAAGTAGATTGATGTTCTAGGGTTCTGTGTAACACAGTGGGTTAAGAATCTTATTTTGAAGATCGAGGGTTTGGGTCCTTGGGAAAGGCCCTTAACCTTCGCTGCCCTAGGGGCACTGAATGTTGACTGACCCAGTGCTCTGACCCCTGTATATACATGTTTCTGTGTAATGGGATATATGAAAAACTGCCCAGTTTCCCTACCGGGCTGGTACGTCTCAAATCTTCAAATCTTTATGGACTTTTCACCTGTCAGTCCATGTTTATCCTGCGAAATAAAACCATGGCATCTTCTGGGAGTCGATTCTGGAAGCTGGCTACTTAAGTCTGACGCCGTCCACCGAGGTGGTGAAATTTCAGTATGTGCACTGTGTGGAATGTTAGAAGTGCTTAACGGCGATGACAGATGGTGTGACCTTTAACCTGTGACCTCTTCGTCATTTCTCTACAGAGGGAATTCGCAGCATGACCATGGAGTCCAGCCAGATGGGCATGCCGATGTCTGACCCCAACGCCTGGGCCACCGCCATGAACAACCTAGGGATGGCACCCATGAACATGCCTGGGCAACCTCTCATGTCAGGTACTGACTCCTCATTCATAATTGTTAATGGCAGGTATTGGTCATTGTCTCATGAAAACTGGCATAATCACGCCTTCATGGGTTTTATAGCCCTCAGGTAAGGTATTCCCAACCCATTTTGCAGATTTTGGGGTCACTTCTGAGCCATTCGAACTATATAGCATCCACAACAAGTGGCTACATGACAGCCCATGGAAAAGCATGTTGATCAAGGGGAATCATGGGACAAATTTGGGCCAATCAAGTGCAGATGCCACAGCCAATGGTTACTTAGCAGTGTGACTCTGCACTGCGCTCCAATAGGTCTCTGGGCTGGGGAGCGGTGCCAGTGGCCCCCTGCCCCCTGCTGTCCTTCACCTCTGCTTTGGCTGCTCTCCTAGCCTGATCAAGGTGCTTGCATACAGCTGGGTGTATGAGATGAACCTCTGAGGACGCTCACCTGTTGAGGGGAGGAGATGCCCTCCCCCCGAGAATGGGCCAACTTGCCCTCTCACTTTAGCTATGACAGGAGACCACATTCAGGAAAATATTCAGAATTGGGCAGGGGGTGGGGGGTTGAAATAACTATTTATTTTACTGCTCAATTTCATTAAAAGCTTGTGGGCATTTATCATTTTTACATCAGATTTACACAGCGTGTCAATATTCCACCTGCCGTGATTCATGTGGGCATCTACATTTCTCCCAACGCTCTCCTCGTCCATCTATAAATCACCCCCTTTATGCTGAAACTCGGGATTCATCCCCCCCCCCACTTCACCAGAGCTCACATCTCCTTGAAAGAGGAAGGAAGTTTGCTGTTGAGCTCATGGTCCCTCCCCAACCATCTCTTTCCATAGCTAGTGCGTCATGTATTGCAGTCTTCTGTGTGCAGTGTAGAACCCCCCCCCCCGCCCCCCAGGAGGTTAAAAAACCTGTCCGTGGCCCCCTCTGTGTCTGTGTGGCTTTTTGCCAATGCTCTGCTGTCCCTCCCTTTTGTGCTCTCGTGACATTCTCATGCTATTACACTGATACCAGCACAGAAACACATTTTTCTGCCAGAAGCTTCACCTGAGGACCCGGAGGACTGGAACACGGATCCCTCTCACCCTCATGTCATCTGAGCCGTTCACCCTGATTAAAGACACAGATTAATGTATCAGTTCTCGGGCTGGCCACCAGTCATTCTATGTACATCTTCGGGCTTGGCTCAGGTTGGGCTAATTATGTGCGATTAATTTTTTTTATGCGCAAATTGCTCTATACACCTGCTAGAGCCGTTGCTCATTTGCGCTTTCCATACCACTCAAACTTGCAGTTTCCATATACACGTATGACGGATGGGTTCGGGTTCTAGATTTGCGAGTACTATTCGGGATGGGTCAGGTTCGGTCTTAAGGTCTTGGATATGAGCTGGGCTTGGGCTTTGATTAAAGGCCCATACAAGACTAACACAGAAACAGCATGTCTGTTTCCTACATTGTCACCAAACAGGCCCCGTTTGTCACCGGTATCACACTGCCCTGGGTGTGAAATTATGAGTGTGTTTGTGTGTGTGTGTGTCTTTGTTTGTGTTTGTGTATATGTGTGTGTTCCATCTTTTCAAGGCTAAATTTATTTTAATGGTGTCAGGGGCCTCAGGCTCGCCGGCTGTATCCTGCAGGGGGTCCTGGTTGTAGAATGTTGCCCTGGACCCCTGGCTTACCGCTTGAATGTCCCGGCAGCTGTATAAACAGGAACTTTCCAAAGAGCCCGTCAAAACTGCTCCTGCTTTTTGGCCGCTGAGCAGGAAGCAGAACCAGAACAAAGTCCCCGGCGACTGCAGTGGACTGCAAATAGAATCAGATTTTTTCTTTTTCTGAATCAGGGTCACACACACTGTGATGTGACATCACACTGCACCCACGTGCCTTGTTATTGCTGTCATGGTGGGAGCAGCGAGAGGCCGGTCCAGTCTGCTGGACCATCATAACTGACCCCGTGTGGCTTGGGTTCTGCGTTGGCGCTGGCCCGGGGCCTCGGGATGTTTGATTGGCTGCGCCCTGTAACGGAGTCCTCTGTGGGGTTTCCTGCTCAGCTTCAGACGCAGCTGGAGCCCGCACCGTGACCGAGGCGATTTTCACACTGTCGCTTTTCGGATTGACGGCCGCCGCTGCTTCTCGCTCTCTCTCTCTCTCTCTCTCTCATGCATTCACTTTCCTCCCCTTTGTTTTCTGCCCTCGCACCCCTTCAGGCTTTCAGCTCAGCTGTGTCCGGCCACCAGCGCTTTTTACACGCTGGGGCGTCCACTCCGCGTAGCAGACCGAGCTGTTTGCTATCGACCAACGAGACTGAATCAGAGCCTGAACCGTGTCCAGCTGCCAGGTTTACCCGTGTCACCCTTCGACATGCTGGCCAGCGTCGGGTCTCCTGTTTTGGCATGCACAATGCGATATGAAAAGCAGGCGCGCAGGCTGCACCTCAGGGCAGCCGTTAGCATGCAGTGAAGACTCGTGCAGGCCCCTGCTGTGTGGTTTTGTTTTCGATCCTATCCACGGCCGGATGGGTTTGGGAAAACATCTCAGCACCTCTGACATTTCATGTTTGAGTCTTTCCAAGAGTCCTTGCGACCAGAGAATTACCATGTGTGTTTGATCATTCTCAGCTGTTTTAAAGGACGTTTTCTTTGGCTATTGATGGCTGAATGGCATTAAAGCCTGGGCTGTTTAGCTGTTTCTGATGCATTTCTTTTAAATGGTGTGGAAAGATGTATCTTGGATAATTTATCAGGGACAGATCGCAGCCTGGATGAAGGCCCTGGCATTTTAAAAAGCCTGACTGGATCTATTTAGGCCCATTTTTAAATGCTAGGCCCTGTGCCGAGAGAGATGTGTCACCATTAGTCTGATGTGAAACGATGCATCCTGTGGATTCAAAGGGAATACAGGCAGAGCCTTAGTGTTTGCTTCCTACATCCTGGTTATGCGCCGGCTTCTGTGACAGTATTCAGCAGGTCCTGAGCTCAGAGGAAATCTCTATGTCCTGGAATTGATCAGCATAATAAAGACAGGAGATTTCATCCTTAAGCAAAGGAAATGACAGTGGTTAATGTAGAACATTAAAATTCATGTTCAGCTGCATGCAGTGATTGAAAAGTAAAACTGGTTTAGACCTGTTTCTGGAGTAGTAGTGCCCTGAACATACCGGGTCAGTCAGAGGAGCAGCAACAGAATCAGGGGCTTGGTGGGGATTGTGTGGCATGCAGCCTGGGGCACAGGCCACCCTTTCTCTGTGTTCTCTAAAAAGGGTGTTGAATTCCCCAGATAATTCAGTTTGCAGGCTATCCCATGAGCCCGCCCTGCTGTGTACTGGCTCTGCCGTGAGCCCGCCCTGCCGTGTACTGGCTCTGCCGTGAGCCCGCCCTGCCGTGTACTGGCTCTGCCGTGAGCCCGCCCTGCCGTGAGCCCGCTCTGCCGTGAGCCCGCC